AAATAGGGCATATATAGAAAGTTTTTGTTCTTCGTTAAAACTATTTCACTAAAAGCTTTCTTTATTGGAGGTCTCTTAACCACTGATTTTAAATATCTAGAAATCAACAAGAAAATCAAAATGAAACTACTGTTCAACATTTTTAAGTTCATAAGACTTTTACATTATGTTCAAATTGAGAGCTCCACAAAGCTCCAAAGCTGAATCAGGAGAGCTGATACTCTGAGAAGTCTGCCTCTGTCACACACTCCACTGATGCTTCCCTACTTTTGACTTTGGCAGGCTGGGAAACATACTGATTTTCATGGTGTGTTTCATTTTCAACTGCCTTTGCCAATACTGCCATGGTCTGTCCAAGGGGACCAGAAAAACCTGTCAATTATTAATTGCCCAAAAAGTGAACTAGGGTAGCAATATGCATCCACTAAAAACATGGAGATCACATATAGCTTACTAACAGAAAATAACTTTTGCCTTTCATATACAGACTAAACTGAATGTAAAGAATTTATGATACTAGGCCAGCCTATGGTATAGTGGTTGAGTATAGTTTGAGTCCTGAACCCAGAGGCTGGAAAAACATGCTGGGTGTGTACGTGTGTGCACGCACATGTGTGCATGTGCCCAAAATCCCCAAAGGGGGCAGAGACAGAAGAGAAGGGACTGCACCATGGCCATCTCTCATAGGGGGTGTTTCTCACTTTCTCTCTTCCTTCATGGTGTGAGCAGTTCTCTGGTAAAATAAATAAATAAAATAAAAGCAAGATAGTGCTTGATGTTCAAGAATCCAGCAAGTATTTATTGGGCAAGTATTCTGTACATAACACTGCTCTTTTAAAAATAAAAAAAAATAGATAGATTATTTTTAGCCAGGTAATGGATTTTTAAAATTATAAAGTTTATTAAGCTAGTAAAAATATATATTCTGCATACTCTATAATCCTATCTTAAAAAGTATTAGAGCAAAACTTCTATTTCTACTTCACAAAATGTATACATTTTAATTTTAAATTAAGAAGGCTAGCCTCTAATATTTAACTTGGAAGTCTGGACTAATTTCTGGTATCTAAAAATCAAATACTTAAGTTACCCAGAGAATCAAGGATCAGCATGCTACAACCCCCATGCCAAAGGCAGACACTGTCTATTTATACTATGCATAGGCTAACAATGGCTGTGACATTTTTAAGGGTTATATGGAAAAAAGGGCGGGGGGGGCTGGCCCTATAAAATATGGTTATAGAAAGTTGGATCTCACATGGCCAACTAGAATTCGAGTTCCAGGCCAGTGGCTTGAAAAACAGACCAGGCATATGTGCATGTAAACACCAAATCCTGACAGGAAAAGAAATGGAGGAAAAAGGATCAGGGTGCAATCATGTCCTACTACGGTGCTTTTTTCCTCTTTCTCCATCCCCACTGAATGCATGTACCCTCTGTCTACTTAAAAAAGAAGGAAGGAAGGAAAGGAGGAAGGAAGGAAGGAAAGATGGAAGAAAGAGGCAACAGATATGGCAAAGTCTAAAATATTTATTACCCTTTACAGAGAAAGTCTGCCAGCCCCTGACTGATACCTATGAGAACTTCTAAATGAATTTTCTGTTCCTACTAACCTGAATATAATTCCTTATAATGTTTGTGTTTTAGGATCATGATGAAAACCAAAAATTAGGGCACAAGTTGCTGATAAAATACAGCAAGGATATGCACATTAATTTTGTTCAAATAAACAAAATGAATGACAAATGTGTAGTCAATAAAATACTCTGCAGAAAGTAGGGCTTCAAATTTTCACAATAACTATTAGAAATGTAAAATTTATCAAAACTGGGGCCAGCAGGTGGCGTGTTGGTTAAGGGCACTGGACTCCAACATGGCCAACCGTGGTTTGAATCCTATGGCTTGCTTTCTCACTTTCTCTCTCTCTTACTCAGTCTCTCTCTGGTCAAATTAAAATAAATAAACAAATAAATAAAGTTAAAATAATTCTTAAAAAAGTATCAAAATTTATATATTTCAGTTTACAATCTCTACAATTAGAATAGCCTTCTAATGTCTTCCACAAACATGCAAACATCAACTTAATCTCAATGAGATGAATAAATTTCTCAAAGACAAATAAATTTCTAAGCAAATCATTACATCATAAAAAGAAATCAAAGAAGATCAATTATTATATAAGTTACAGTTTGGCAAGATAAATTACACAAAGACATAAATGAAACAGAATATAAGTGTAAGAAAGATTGAGTGCTAGGTTAAAGACAATTATTCTTTCATGTTATATTCGCTATATTTTAATTAGATGATCCACATAAATGTCTACAGAGCAAATATATAAGTTAAACTACTTCCACACCATACATCTTTAAAATAAAAAAACAAGAACAAGCAAAAACAACAACAAAAAACCAAAAAACTCAAAAGGCCATAAAATAAGTTTAGATTTTAGTATAAAACTTAAAAATCTATTTTAAAAGGTAGCCAGGTAGCTTTCTGATCAATTATAAATGCTATGGTTATGTTAAAGCTTTAATGTTAAACACCAAGAATCAATTAGTACTACCTGGATAGTGAACACATAGCAAGGAAAGGAAACACAGTTCTCTGAGTTCCTATCAAATGAACAGTGAGCATCACTGTGGGAACGGCAATGAAGACGCCTTTTACTATCGTCTTTCTGCTCAAAATGTGGTCCCTCTACCAAAACTATCATCACCTGAAGGCTTGTTAGAAACGCAGAATCACAAGCCCCTATGTAAACCCACTGACTTAGAGTCTGGATTTTACTAAGCCCAGTTGATTTGTTTGTGTGTCGAAGGAAAAGAAGCATTTCTCAACTGTAACCCTTTACAACATTAGGCAAAGTCTCAACTTTTTCTTTGTGAAATGTAAGCTTGTGTTCACTAGCATAAAAAGCATCTTTTAAAAGTTATAAATAATGCAAGTATAATAAATGTTAATACCAGAACCTAGGTAGTAGAGTTGCAATTTTTTTGCAAAAAATTCTTTCAATTTTTTATTTGAAGATTATTCCTAAGAAAATGTTGGAGGAAAATCTATAATTTTAATAATTTACTGCTTATTAAAATTTATAATTTTAATAATTTACTGCTTTCAGAGTAACCTCTCTCCCCTAAGGAAAACCCAGGAAATTGGTCAGAGAAGACCAATAAAAAGAAGATAAAAACCAAATCTTTTTCTCAGTCTTTGGAACCTGGGAATAAGGATGAATAAAATCCTAACTTCTCCAAAGTAAAGTGAAGTGGCATATGCCAAGTCTTTCTTTAATCTATAACTCAAGTTTTAGTAAAATTGCAATAAAAACATTTGTATGATGGTCAAATTATAGAAACTAAAAAAAAAGAAAAGAAAAGATAGGGACAAGCAGTTGGCGTAATGGCTATGTCACTAGACTCCCATATAGATGACTGCAATAGATGATTGCAGTTCGAGTCCTGGACCCGGTGGCTAAAACTCACGCTAGGGGGCATGTGCTTGCATGCACAAGATTCTAAGAGGAGAATGGAGAAGGGATTGCAGAGTGGCCATCCCTCCTGGCGTGTGATTTCTTGCTTACAGTCTCTCTGTCTTTCTGGCAAGCGCACACACCCTATAGTAAAATTCTCTCCAGAAAAAAAAAAAGTATATATATACAGAAATTAAGTCTTTAATGCCAAAAGGAAGATTTACAATAGAATTGTTTTATATACTGTACCAAGTCTGTTTAACTAAGAAGAAATATGTGCACACGATCTCTCATTAGGGAAATAAAGACATATACTAGGAGGAATCAGCAGTTAGCGTAATGGCTATGTCGCTGGACTCCCATGTAGTCGACCACGGTTCGCGTCCCGGACCCGGTGGCTTAAAACTCATGCCAGACACGTGTGTGTGCGTGCCCAAGATCCCGAGAGGAGAATGGAGGAGAAGGGATTGCGGCGTGACCATCCCCTCTCGGGGGTGATTTCTCGCTTTCTGTCTCTATGTCTCTCTCTGTCTGGTGAGCGCACACGCCCTATAGCAAAAATCTCTCCAAAAAAAAAAAAAAAAAAGACATATACTAGGTGGATAATGATTTACAATAAAATTTTTATCTTCTTAGAAGATTCAATAAAACGTCAAAAATCCCTGTTTATATCAGTTTAAGCAAGTAATGAGTATTTTTAATCAAAATTTCAACTCTTAGCATTATATAAGATAAAATTATGAAAAATTTATTTCCTGACTAACAAATACACATTACCAGAAAAAAGGCCCATAACAAATTAATGAAATAGAAATTGATCAGTTTCTTAGTATATTATTTTTGCAACAAAATTCGGGTTCTAGTACTTCCTAAATACACTGTTTTAATGAAAACTTTCTCCAAAAATAAGTAGAGCACTCAAAAATAATTTTGCCAAAGTAAACCCAACAAAATCTAACCTAGAAACATGTAACATAAATGGGATCTTCAAAAGTACAAGGAAAATGATGAAAAACCTATGCATGGATTTAAAAAAGTTATGTACCAAATAAAACTAGTGTTGTAACTCCATTTTTTCCATGAACTTTTTGAAGTCCTTCATACTTTTAAAGCACTTCTAAAATAAAAAAAAAAAAACTCAGACTCTATTCCTCTATTGTGTTTATGTATGTAACAGTGAAAAAATCAGCATATTGCTTAAATCCTAAGTTTAAGATGCACTCAGAGTTGAAGAGAAATTTTCAATGTGGAAAGAAATCAAAGCCAAGGGTAATAAGACTGAATTAAGTAGTGCCGCCCTCTCAAGAGGACCTAAATTTATCAAAGATTGTTTTATTTCCTATTTTAGAATAATAAAGAGAAAAACTGATAAATCAGATTAAATTATATAGAAGTTAGTCTATGTATGTTTATTAACCTCCTGCCCCTAAATACATCATTAGAATATGTGTTAGTAAATTATGATTAATGATTAAAATCACTTGATGTATCTTGCAGAAAACAGATCTGGATTTATTTCAGTTTTACTTACCTGTCTTGTCTTTGCTGATGTTTCAATGAAAGGAATTCCATAACTTCTTGCTAAGTCCTGAGCCTGTTTTGTATCTACTGTTCTAGAAGGCAAATCACATTTATTTCCTACGAGGACCATGGGTACATCTTCAGAGTCTTTAACTCTTTTAATCTGTTCTCTGGGGAAGAAAAAAAAGAGATACAGCCGAGGTATTAGTATCACAAAAGTCTTTCAAAAACTGTCCACAATTTTTGTCTTATAAAATTTGAAAGATGATTTTAATGTAATTCATAGTTTCTGCCATATCAGATTTTCTTTGCTTCTATTCTAGTAACTTTTATTCATCTTAACTAGAGACCTTATACATCTCCTAAAAGATTTAACAGCTAGAAGAACAGTAAAAGATTTCATCTAATAGCTTCATATACAGGTAGGTCATATGATAAAACAGAAAACACTAAAAATTCTAGACCAAAAGTGCTATGTCTAATTTAAAAACTACTATGTTAGAAACATATGCATGTGGTTCAACATCTGTATGCTTAAAAATATTTATACTAAAACATGAATTATAGTAATAACTTTCCCAAAAAAGAATGAGTGTATATGTCCTATGTGGACAACACTGATGTTAACTTCATTGCTTAGTCTGTTAAAAGTCTTATTGTATTTTGCTAATTTTCAATAGAAGATGTGCATAAACTCTTAAATTTGAGGTGAAATTCTATCCCCTCACAAATTTAGGTAAACTTCAAAGACCCAGAGTAGAATAAGCAGCACAGTAGGTAACAGAATCAGAAATGGTTCAAATTCCCAGTTCCTCCACCTATAAGCTGGGTAAATATGAATAAGTTAACAAATTTCACCCACTGAATACGCTCTAGAACTATCACCACTATCATTCACCCAAACTTTTTTTTCTCTATTACTGGACTATAGACTATACTTGCAATAATCAAAGTTCTTAAATAAAACTTTAAGCCTCTTAACTAGGCTCACTCACTCTTCCGTGACATAGCCAGTGAGTGAATACCTGCCTAATATGCGGTTTCAGGAAAACTGTAAACCCTCAAAGAAACAGAATATAAAATATATTAATAGTTGATACAATAGTAATTGTTTTTAAAGTACTGGGTCACCAGAAAAGTCACAACGTATTTTTCTGTTTTTCTAGACAACATTGTGTCACGACTTTAATGACAGCCCAATAGTTATATGCACATTTGTCAGACTCTTTAAAAAACTGTAATTGCTCCAATTCTTCAATCTTTCACAACCTCAGAATTAAAAAAAAATATATGTAAGGCAGTGTTCATCTAATCCAAGAAATTCTACACTAAATATTTGTGATTAATTTTAAACCTATTCTAGTAGTACTACCTCAAATCATCTTTTCCTAGTTTTATTTATAGTTTCCACTGTTACGATGTACCTAAAAAGTTTAAAGTCTTGTTTCCCTAGTGTGCAGCAGCTGAAAGTACAGAAAATTTTGGAGTCATATCAGGTCTAGGTTTCAATCCCGGCACCACTGTATACAATCTCGAACAAGTTATTCTACTGCTCTAGTTCCCAAAAGCTTCACTTGTAAATGTGATATTACATACCTCAAAGAAATTACTTTTCAATTAAAATTAGATGATATATGCAAGGCAATAAACAAAGACTCAATATATGAAAGCTGTAATTATTCTTGAGCATCAGTTTTATTACATTCAATTAAAACCCACCTATAATGGTGAATATCTTCAAATGATTTAGTATTATTTATGGCAAATACACAAAGAAAGCCCTCCCCAGTCCTCATGTACTGGTCCCTCATTGCACTGTACTCCTCTTGACCTGCTGTGTCGAGAATATCCAAGAGACAGGTTTCTCCATCAATTACTACTTGTTTCCTGTAGGAATCCTGAGAAGGGAGAAACACAGCCTAGATTATTAGAGTGTACCTTCTACTTTTAAAAAGGTGTTATATACAAGTCAACAACAACAACCAAAAAAAAAAAAAAACCAACTGGAAAATGAGCAAAGGATCGACTAGGTATTTCTCCAAGGAAGGAAGACAAATGGCCAATAAGCACATGAAAAGGTGCTCAGCATCATGAATCATTAGGGAAATGCAAATGAAAATCATGAGGTCACTTCATACCCAAAAGGATGGGTATTGGTAAAAATAAACAAAACGAAACAATGGAGCAGAAAAGAACTGCTGCTAAGGATACTGAGTGACTGGAATCCTTGTGTATTGCTGGTGGGAACATAAAATAATATAGCCATTACATTAAGAGTATACAGCTCCTCAAAAAGTTCAACACAACAGCCAGCTGGTGGTGTGGTGACTGGGCAGCTGGATCTTACATGGCCCACTGCAGAGTTTGAATCTTGACCTGTTGGCTATGAAAATACACGGGGTCCTTGTTCCTTTGTGCCCAAAATCCTGAGAGAAGTGATTGAAGTGTGGCCATTCCCCCAAGGGGTGCTTTCTCATTTTCTCTTCCCTCTTTTTCTGCCTATGGTAAGTGCACATGCCCTGTCCCACAAACAAAAAAAAAAAAAAAGTTCAACAGAGAATTGACTCTGTGCTTCCCAGCAATTCCATTTATAAGTATATAACCAAAAGAACTGAAAGCAGGGACTCAGATAGACAACAGCCAAAATAAAGAAATAAGGGCCTGTTAATAGATGAATGGACAAATAAACCGCAGTGCAAAAGCGTTCATAAAGTTCACTGAAAATGCATATTATGAAAACACTATACAAATTTTTAAAATTTTTTTGTGCCAAATAAAGTCATACACTCATTTTTTTCCACGAACTTTTTGAAGTTCCCTCTTATACGCACGCATTCAAGGAAACATTATTTAGGCATAAAAAGGAATGAAATCCTGGGACCAGCAACTGGTGTAATGGCAATGTCACTGGACTCCCATGCAGTCAATCACGGCTCGCGTCCCGGACCTGGTGGTTTAAACTCACACAGAGTGCGTGTGGGCGTGCTCAAGATCCTGAGAAGAGAATGGAGGAGAAGGGATTGCGGCATGGCCATCACCCCTAGGGGGCGATTTCTCGCTTTCTGTCTCTGTCTGTCTCTCTTTCTGGCAAGCGCGCGCACCCTATAGCAAAAAACCTCTCAAAAATAAAATTATTACAAAAATGGGATAACTCTACAAAATCTTATTATTCAAGATGATTTAGAAGAAAAATCCATCAACTTATTATAACTGTTATGTGTCTATTTTAGTCAAAGAAAGGCATAAGAGAATGGTCAATAATCAGTATTCTAACGCCCTCATCCACTATGAAAAACCTGGGAACAATATCTAATAGCTAGATGAATTCTGTAATTCCATAAAGCGTGTTTCATCTGTAAATTCTGAGAGCCTCTATTAAAAAGAGGAAGTGATGGGGCGGCCAGCAGGTGGTATTTCACACAGGCTTCAAAAAATAAGGAAAGGGCATAGTACAATGTGAAGCCACAGAATGAGTGCCAGAGCTAACAATGGGTTTGAATAAAGTATAGTCATGCACTGCATGATGAAGTTTCAGTCAATAAACTGCATGTACAACAGTGGTCCCATAAGATTATAATAGGCTCTATCGTATAGCCTAGGTGCACAATAGACTACATCATCTAAGACTGTGTAAGTACACTCAGTGATGCTTACACAATGATGAAATTGCCTAACAACATATTTCTCACAATACAGTCATCGATAAGTGATGCATGACTATGCAAACAGACATTATTTCTTACTGTCCTATAGGTGGGCTGCAGTACTAAAGTAAAGTGCCCTTACTTCATGAATTACTGTGTAGACCATTCCGTTGTTTAAGAGAGGGAAAGAAAATGGTCAATAACAATCATATTTTTAGAAAAATGTTCATAGTATAAGGAAAATACAAAGAGACACATGTAGCATGACCCCTCAAAATGTGTGCACAAAACTGTATAAATGTACCTGCGTGTGTGTTTAAAAACTCATAGTATAGCTTTCAAGATTTTAATAAAGGCTATGTCTCTGATGGAGATAATTTAAAAGCTATCTCTTGCTTAAGTCTTTCTTTCTAACCTTAGAGCATGTGTGCTTGTAGGGGTTGGGGGGAGACAGACATGGTGAGAGGGAAAATGAGAAATCACCCCCAGGGGGATGGTCATACCACAATCCCTTCTCCTCCATTCTCCTCCCAGGATCTTGGGCACACGCGTACGTACACACACCCAGAGTGATTCTGAAGCCACCAGGTCCAGGACTCAAACCACGGTCAGTCATGTGGAGTCTAGAGGTGTAATTGCTATGCCATCTACTGGTCACAGCTTAATTCTTTTTTTCGTGATAGATGCTATATTAAATGTATTTTTCTTTGGCTTTCAATTTTAAAGTATGAAAGACTACCATGTTAAACTGATATCTTGCTTTTTAAATTTATTCTTATTTGTTATTATTTTTTAATTTGAGGAGAGAAGGAGAGAGAAAGTGAGAGAGCAAGCCACCAGGTCTGAGACTCAAAAAATGTGGGAGTCTAGCACCTTACCCACCCCACCACCTGCTGGCCCTCTTGCTTATACTATATTTAACAAATTCTCTACAATAAAAATTAAAATTAGCCAACCAGTCAGAAAAAAAAGAATATTTTATAAATAAGAAGTTCTTTATTAGAGATTTAAAGATTCAAGTGACATTTCATTATTTTAGCCTATTCCCTTAATTAACTGCTTAAAGGAATTCCTGTAGATTATAAATCGAAGACCAATGCTTTTGAAGAAAAATGAAAAAGGAATTTGGAGCAAAGCAGTCTCTTAGAGTCAATCCATTACCTAGGTGTAGCTACAAAGCATGAAATTTTTACTTCCCTACTTCCCTACTTCTGTCACCTCACATCCTTTTCTTTTTTTTAAGAGTTTTTTGCTATAGGGCATGTATACTCCCTAGAGAGACAGAGAGCAAGAAATCACCCCCCCACCCCCAGGGGGATAGTCATGTCACAATCCCTTCTCCAACCTCCTCTCAGGATTTTGGGCATACATGCATACATGCCCAGTATGAGTTTGAAGCTGCTGGGTCCAGGACTTGAACTGCGGTCGACCACATGGGAGTCCAGCAAATGTCCCTGCCAGTGAGACAGACTGATGGGGGAGGAGCACACCTTTTCCATGGGTTATGGAAATTTTGCAGTCCCTTCTCCTCCATCTCCCCCTTTTCAGGATTTTGGCCACATAAACGCGTGCACACCCAGCATATTTCTCAAGCCACACCAAGTCTGGGATTCAGACCACATGGTAAGCCATGTGGGATCTGAAGGCCCAAACCTCCAAGCTACAAAGCCAGTCTCCCTCACATTCTTTACTTACCAATATTAATAATCTTATAACTGACAGTCACCTTAGTCTTTATGTCTACAATCTTCTGTAACTAAAAACTATAGTTTTTACAGCCACACAAGTCTACTTAACACTGAGAGCATGGCTAGGGGACTACTCACCATATGCCCCCATATAATGCCTCTAAGCTGTACTTCAATGAAGCCCTACTTACAAAATTTCCAAACATTGTATTTCAAAAGTATATAATGTGAAATATTAGTAGTTTTTGCATATATTTCATGGTTTTTTTGATGAATACTCTATAAAAGAGACCAAGAAAATGAGATAACAGTCCTGACTCACTGATACATTTAATTTCTATTATCTCTTCCCTTTTAGGTCCTAAAAACAGTGATAGCAAAGTTCTGGGCCACTTTTCGTCATTTAATAAAGTAATTCACAACCAACTCAGAAACATAGTTGCTGATTAAGATAATAGGTTTAGGTTGAAAATTCAGTATTTTCAAAGTTAACTTTAACTAAAGTCCTCATTCTTAGAAGCATATTAGTTACTGAGCTACAGAAAAACTTGGTTTTTACTACAACTTGGTAAAACTAAAGAACACAAGTGTTAGTGAAGAATGATCAATAAAGAACTGACAGATTTGGAGAGAAAGTAGACAGCAAGCACAACAAAAATATCTAAATATGGAAGATTCTGTTCCAATTTCACGTTAGCCTTAAGTAAAGACATATGTGGAGATACAAAAAAATTATGTTATCAGTGTGAACTCTTTGCAAAGATTAGAATCTAAACAGAGGTTCAAATTTTGCCCACGTTTTTGTATGCCCATGATCTAAAAATAGATCAAAGTTAGCTGGTACGTATATAATGATCATTGTATTACTTTTCCATATAGTATTAAATGTTCACATTTAATCACTACTCAATAACAATGGATTTTATATTTTTATTTTTCTCAAAATTTGTTTACTTGATAACCAACATTCTTATTTCAATGTCAATTTCTCTAAGGAGTAATAATGGTTTATATGTTTTTTCAGTATCAATTGCCATCAACTATATCTTTGCCCACTTCAAGTTCTCATCCTTTTAATTTTGCCTGGTAAAAAAAATTTTTTTAAGAATTATTTCCTTTTCTTTATTTATCGTTACTGTTATTTTTAATTTAACCAGAGGGAGGGAGACACAAAGAGAGAGAGGGAGAAAGTGAGAAAGCAAACCACCAGGTCTGAGACTTGAACCTCTGGCAGCCATGTGGGAGTCTAGCACCCCAACCACCTTGTAAAATTTTTTAAAATAATGCTTCCCAGGGCCAGCCAGTGGTGAGGAGGTTAAGGTAGCTGGATCTTAGATAGTCGACTGTGTGGTTCAAGTCCTGGACCCAGTGACTTAAAAAACCAGATGTGTGTGTTTACATGCCCAAATTCTTGAGAGGAGAATGGAGAAGAGAGGACTGTGATGTGGTCATCCCTCCAGGTGGATGCTTTCTCACTTTCTCTCTCTTCCTGACAAGTGCATGAACCCTACAGCAAATTAAAAAAACAAACAAGAAATTATTTTCCAGTTTACTACATGCCTGTAA